AGGGTTATTGTGAAGAGCAAGTGAGATAACCGTACAGCAATCAGCACAATACCTGGCACATAGTAAGCACTTTATAAATGTTAGCCATCATTATTATTATACGACAGAGGCAGAATTGAACCTAGGTGACTTTTCACGTGCAATGTCTTCCAAGACAAGATTGATTCATCTAACCATACACAGATAACTGACAAGTAGTAGCATTTCACCTTTGAAACACTGATAATTCAAATAGCAAGCAAAACTCCTCCTAGATAAGATTAATACCTTCCCTGTCTTCAATGCAAAGATCTAAACTTCAAAGCACATTAATGCATGACTGGGCAGTGTCTGAAGAGCTAACATTTACATAGTACCTGCTTTTAGCTTTACAGTCTTACATTTATTACCTAGCTGGGGCCTCACCACAACCCTGGGAAGTATTCCATTTTACAAATTAATAAACTGAGGCTACAAGAGGTTAAGCTCTTGGTCACACAACACAGTGTCAAAAGGCCAGACTCTAAGCCAAGTTTTCTTGACACACAAACTATCTACTGTGCCAAATTATTCTCCCCTAAAAGCCGACTCTGAAAGACAATGCAAAGCCTGCCTCCAATATGCAGTATTGTGAGCTCTTAAACTTTCTGTGACACACATATTCGTGATCATATATGCTGAAAAGGTTCCATGCACAAATGGAGTTGTGGTTTGTTTTTAGCAAGATTTTAATAAGACAGCACATTAAAAAACAGACCTCTCATTTACCAGAGGTCATTTGCTTTTGGGAGCTAGCTAGACACCCAAAATATAAAACTTAAACTTGACAAAATTTACTACTCAGTAGGGAAATAAATGATGAAATTACTTAGGACAAGCTATGCAGATGATAGACGCTCAGCAAGTCTCTACTGAAGGAATGACTACATTGTGATACAGTGAAGAAAGCACCTGAGGTGCAGCTGCAGCAGTAACCATGTGAATCTGTAAGTCATTTTCATCTAAGCCTTTTTCCTCAACTGCAAATTGTGAATATTTTTTGCCCCTCTCCCTCTCAAGGGGGTGTTATGAGAATGAGATAATACATGTGTGCTCTAAGGCAAACAAGAAAGCTAAGTAAAATGATTTACTGCAAATGAAATCTCAAAAACTTGTTCGTGATCAAGTTGATTTTTTTTTAAATTGTTTTTCTTTCCCTCAGTATCCTTCTTCAGGTGTGATTCAAGTACAAATTTTTTTTTACCTACTCTTATGGCAAATCTGATTTAAGTCACTGCAGCTCCAATTTCTGGGGATTTACCTTCTTTATCTATTAAGATGTCAAGATTAAGATTTTTCTAAGGTATTACATACTTTAACATAGTAGGGAGAAAAAACCTATTCAGAATATACCAGTCACAACATGCCAATTGATTGATAAATGACTGCTTTACTGCCCACAACTGTGTCAGGTAACCATATTTTTCAACTTACGCATATAAGAAATCCTGCCAACCTAGATGTACCCTTGGGAATAGGTAAAAATAAAAAATATATCATGACTAAAAAATACCAAATGATCTTTTCTGATAACTCAGATAAACTGCTCTAATGGTCTGCAAATTGGTGAGCTGTGAATTGGTCCAATTGTGAAAAACAATATAGAATTTTGCAAAAACAAGTAATTGTTCATACCCTTTGACCTACAGTTTCTACTACTGGACATAAATGGGAGGGGACGATGTCAAAACAAGGCCCATACTCAACAGAACTATTCAGAGCAACCTTTTCTTATGGCAGCAAAGAAATAGAAACAGAGTAGGAAGGCTGAAAAGCTGCGGTTTGTGAATGTTAATATTATGGTTTTTTAGGACTAAAATGAGTAATTCAGAGAAACATGGGAAAAATTAGCACGATGCATGAAATAAGCAGAACCTAAACATACACAAGTAAAAAAAAAAAACCTCAAAAAACACTAGGAGAGGCCAAACTTGTGCAACTGCAACAATTAGTCCTGGCGAACTAATATTTGGAAGGGAAAGGAGGGACTGGTGGGGCAGAATGTTACATCCATTTATCAAAATTAATCACTGTCTTTAACTATTTTTCTTTAACTTTTTGTTAGTAAAAATTTTATGAAGACCAACACAAAAAAACTTGTTGATTATATAAAAATCAGACTAAAAGCATCTAAGAAATCAACTGTTAACTCCAATGTAGCCATCTAATGCCCCCCCTTTAATTCTCTGAATTGAAAATATTGTCAAACAACAAATATTTGAGCACCTATTTATTATAGTGTTTCCTACTAGATTCTGAGGGTCACATATAAATAACATTAAGGCCTGATCACTAGTTTAGTTAAGCAGGTTGAACAAAATAACAGGAGGCAAAACAACCTGAATCCTTCTTGCTCATTAAAGCCTAATTCAAATGCAACCTTTTCCATGAAGGGTTCCTTATTAACCCCAGTCCTTTAATAACTTCCTAATCAGGACTCACAGAGAACCGGTTTTCAATTCACCTACCTTTATTATGTATAATGCAAGTAACTTCAGTTACTCTGGTCTTATTTGCCCAATAGCATGAGCACAATGCATACAGGTAAGGACTCTAATCTAAATGTTGTATTGTCTTGGAACACTAACACAAAGACCTACTGTTTAGAAAGCAGTATATTTGAATGGTGATCTTTCATGAGCCTTATAAATATAGGCTTTTTGAGTATAAAATCGAACTTTAAAGAGGCCTAGAAATAAGAAAGTGTAAGATGTCTTCCAAGGGGCAGTTATCCCTATAGAGGTATAACCAGCATTTCATATTTGAAAGAAAAATTGCAGCGGTCACAAATGAGATTTCCCTATCAATATAGTTGGTGTGGCAAAGGCTGCATTCAACGGCCTTTCCTAATAAAAAGCTTTATGCCATAGGTTAAGTGTGGGAAAGAATTTAGTTGGCCTAAAGGGTTGCTTTTGTAAACCATAAAATCAACTAGTTCTCAGTCAAGAAACCAGAGGAAACCTAACAAATGCCACCACCTGTAAGACCAAAGCTCCCTCTCCTGGCAGACTTTGTGCTAGGCCTGTGTACAATTCTTGTTCAATCTGAGAATCGCCTGGAGATACATCACTTAATTCCTAAATACATTTATGTGAAACTGCTGATCCTAAGTTTAACGGACACCAGAAAATAGGGCTGCTGATTTAAGTATGACAAGCCACACATTCCTCCATTTCACTGAATACTTTGGAACCTAAAACAAAAAACTTTGTCTACGTAATCCAACCATAGCAATAATGAAATCCCTTGCAGGAACAGGTCTTGCACTTCCCTTGCATAGTCAGAGGTCAGACTGGTGTCCAGAAGACTGAGCTCAGACACTTACTAAACTTATCTAAGATTGGAGTACCTCTTCTAAACGTGTTTCTTAACCTGTAACACAGAGGTCAATAGCTTCTATGTCCCAGTTAAGAGCTCATGTAAAGCTTATTAAGTGCTTATACAATGAGCTACGATTCACTTCATAACATGTACTATATATAGTAAAGTGACTGCAAATGACTGCATTCCTCAATCTTTTTCCATGTCATACAATGCTATTCAATGTTAAGTGCAAACTAATAAAACTTTGGTAATCAACCTAAATCTTTTAGTATTTGCATTCCTTGGATAATTTTAATAAAATTTTAAATGTGTGTTAATGACACTAAAAGCAAACCAGGAAGCTGATGCCACTTAGGTTAGGCTCAGGTGAGGGGCTGTTGCCTAGATTTCAGATACACCTGCTCTGAGTAGGCTGACCTAGAAGGGACCTTTAAAATACAGCACTCTTAACTCAACCCCTCATTGTGGAGACTGTCATACATGCAGCAACCTGCTCATAGTAAGTTAAATGTGATTAGGGTAACTTTAAAACACACATACCAAATTTATATATACTAAAAAGATTCAAACCTCTTGTCACTCAAAGGCATTGCTGTGTCTGCTTACACTCATTTTTAATACACCTTACATAATTCTTTTCAATTTGAATCTGACCTCCTACACTCTTGGGAATTCCAACTTTATCCAATTTTAAGTTCATTTCTATGAGTTAAACCAAAGCAGCTGTTTAAATGAACTCCAATGATTTATCATTTTGCCATTACTTTACCAGTTTTTCCACTGCCTCCAATTTGCCAAGCAATACAGCACAAAACTAAACTTGTCTCACCTTTACGTTAAACATTGTATGTAGAACAGTATGCTATGCAACTAAAAAGTGGAGTTTATTTATATATGAACCAGGTGAACTCTAAATGGCTACTGGTCATTATGCAGTTTTCCAAACCCCTATCATACTACAAAAAACTAGGGTTGTCTGTTCCCCCTGCTTTTAGAATTCTGCCCCCCCCACGAGCTTACACATCAAGAAAATGCCCACTTTTCCCTTTAGCTTACCTGTAATGGAAATGAGAATGTATAGCATTTTAGCACCAACCTTAGAGTTAAATAAACCATTTCAACCACTTAAAGAGATTCACTTACTTTGAAGCATGCTAGTACTAGTACTTCTCTTGCTTTAATCTGAAGCAATTAATCTTTATTACCTCATTTTTGCATTCTTTGGAGTTGAAGGATGCTTTCATCAGATGTACCTAACCAAAGCCTCTTACCATCTTTCCAATGCTTCCCCCTCATACTGTCTTCATACTTCTCATTTGTATGCTGCTAACCCATATTTCACCATACCTTTTCTAAAAGGTTATTTGTATGCAAGTGACCCCTTAAAATCTATTAGCTTTAGTAAAGCAAAAACAAGTCAGTTTAAACTATTAGTAATCCCTATGGCAAATCTGCTTATTTCTGTGCTTAAGTGCTTGCTTTAGATTTACTCCCAACTCTAATGGCTGAAACTAAACTTCAGACTAATCCATTTTACATCCTGAAATACATGGCTCCAAAATTCAACTGTCATCAATAAACACTGGAGTCTCCACAACCTGAAAATATCCCACTACTTGAGATCTTATTTTAAACAAACCAAAAAAACACCCCGAGCATTTTGGGAATGCAACAACTTTATTGAAAGAAAAGTGCAGTGAAATTACTCAAAAGCTTGAAAGAAACTTGAGGGAATTTAGACACCTCCCCTCAAGCGCAGGACCAAGTGCAGAGTGGATTCTTTCTGGATGTTGTAGTCAGACAGGGTGCGACCATCTTCCAGCTGCTTCCCGGCAAAGATCAACCTCTGCTGGTCGGGGGGGATGCCTTCTTTGTCTTGGATCTTTTGACATTCTCAATGGTGTCACTGGGCTCCACTTCCAGGGTGATGGTCTTGCCAGTCAAGGTCTTCACGAAGATCTGCATCCCACCTCTGAGACGAAGGACCAAGTGCAGGGTGGACTCTTTCTGGATGTTGTAGTCAGACAGGGTGCGACCATCTTCCAGCTGCTTCCCGGCAAAGATCAACCTCTGCTGGTCTGGAGGGATGCCTTCTTTGTCTTGGATCTTTGCCTTGACATTCTCAATGGTGTCACTGGGCTCCACTTCCAGGGTGATGGTCTTGCCAGTCAAGGTCTTCACGAAGATCTGCATCCCACCTCTGAGACGAAGGACCAAGTGCAGGGTGGACTCTTTCTGGATGTTGTAGTCAGACAGGGTGCGACCATCTTCCAGCTGCTTCCCGGCAAAGATCAACCTCTGCTGGTCGGGGGGGATGCCTTCTTTGTCTTGGATCTTTGCCTTGACATTCTCAATGGTGTCACTGGGCTCCACTTCCAGGTGATGGTCTTGCCAGTCAAGGTCTTCACAAAGATCTGCATCCCACCTCTGAGACGAAGGACCAAATGCAGGGTGGACTCTTTCTGGATGTTGTAGTCAGACAGGGTGCGACCATCTTCCAGCTGCTTCCCGGCAAAGATCAACCTCTGCTGGTCTGGAGGAATGCCTTCTTTGTCTTGGATCTTCGCCTTGACATTCTCAATGGTGTCACTGGGCTCTACTTCCAGGGTGATGGTCTTGCCAGTCAAGGTCTTCACGAAGATCTGCATCCCACCTCTGAGACGAAGGACCAAGTGCAGGGTGGATCTTTCTGGATGTTGTAGTCAGACAGGGTGCGACCATCTTCCAGCTGCTTCCCGGCAAAGATCAACCTCTGCTGGTCTGGAGGGATGCCTTCTTTGTCTTGGATCTTTGCCTTGACATTCTCAATGGTGTCACTGGGCTCCACTTCCAGGGTGATGGTCTTGCCAGTCAAGGTCTTCACGAAGATCTGCATCCCACCTCTGAGACGAAGGACCAAGTGCAGGGTGGACTCTTTCTGGATGTTGTAGTCAGACAGGGTGCGACCATCTTCCAGCTGCTTCCCGGCAAAGATCAACCTCTGCTGGTCTGGAGGGATGCCTTCTTTGTCTTGGATCTTTGCCTTGACATTCTCAATGGTGTCACTGGGCTCTACTTCCAGGGTGATGGTCTTGCCAGTTAAGGTCTTCACAAAGATCTGCATTGTCTGTTAAAACAGAAAGAAAATAATAATTTAAAGCACTGTCATTACTGCTTCCCTTATCCTTAAAGGCCAATTCAGTCCCTCTAGAAACATGAAAATAACTTCCTTGAAAAATAAACTATTTCCATAAATTTCTACCATTTAGCAATTAATGGTGGTACCTCAGTTGTGAAGATGAGAAAAGAAATTTAACCCAACCTTAGGGCTTCTTCACCCCTTTATACCTAAAAATTAAATGTCGAAGAAAAAAATTTAAATGCTGTAAAGTACCAAGTAGCTGATGTTTATTTAAAAATTGCTATTTTATTTTGAAATTTGAAAAGGTTCATCCTATCTATTTTCTTTGCTTATAGGCATTTAACCCAGCAAGAGTTTCTGCACCTTCATAACTAAAAACCCAATGTTAAAATAAAAATTTAAACACTAGATGGACCAAGCACCTATATAAAAACCATTTCATTTTGAAAGTTCACCTGTTTTCTTTGCTTCATGAGAAAAAACAAGCTGCACTGATGCTGTTTGATCCTTCTAATGTTTAGGTAAATACAAGAGAAAACACTTGAGACTTACTGCTTTTTATGCCAGGGCCCTTGTCCTTTTTCCTGACTTAAGTCCTGCGGTATCCACCCTGGCCCCCACAGCACCCCTTGACCGGCAAAAGAAAGCCCATCTCGAGCCAGGCTGCCCACCGCCCTCAATCCAGGATGAGAGGACAAACGGAAGGGCCGTATCACGTCACGTGATGAGAGGACAGACGCGCCACTCCCCTCCACGCGGCACGTACTTCCGGCCACGCCCAGCGTGCAAACGCAGACGTACGCGTCTTCCTTTACCTCCCGCCCCGCCCCCGACAGGCCCAGCTTTACTCGACCCTCCCTCCCCTGCAGGGTGCGCGCTTCGTTTCTCTCGCACAAGTCCCGGATGAAAGCACCTCCCCCCCACCCCCCCATCGGCCCTCCGGACCCCTCGCTCCCCGCTCCCCCGCGATTCCGAAACCTAATCTCCCGCCCTCGCGGGGTCTTTGTCTCGTCAAGACTCGCCACCGGCCGCCATCTTGCGGGCCTCTACCTCCCTTCCTTCTCCCCTCCCCCCAACTCCCCACGACCAGCCTATCGGTGACCTGGGGCCAGAATAAGTGCCACCTCAGGGTCGCGCCAAACCCTCCCCCAGGTCGCCTACCCCGTAACCCAGCAGCCACAAAACCCACCCCACCCACAACCCCACCCCTCCTGGGGTTCCGCGCTGCAAGGCGTCCCCTCCCCCTCTCACCAAGCGGTGGCGACGGCGACACACACACGAAAGAACAGAGTCAAGTCCTCTCCTCGGCGGATCTAACTGCGCCACACCCGGCGCGTCCTTATATAGGTACGCAGTGCGGTAGTTCTATCAGAGATCCATCCGCAGAAACGCCGAGAAGGGACTATTTCTTCCACGCTAGTTACCCAGCCCCGTCCCCGAAGCAGAAAAACGAGGCGACCGCTCTCATCGCCCCGACTGTAACCAAGTCGACAGCTTCCTCTCACGAAATTCTCTCCCGCGCTGGTTTAAGGGACTGGTGGGAGAGCAGCCCAGGGAAGGGGGAGGGGCATTGCGTGAGCGGAGGGATTCCGAACTTTGTAAAGGAGTGCTAGGACTGCGTATGACGTGTGGGGGAGGGGCGGGGGGAGTGGGCTGGCGCCAAAACCCGGCTTGGCCGGGCGGAACGGGCACCGCCGCCCCCACCTTCCGCAGAAAGAGTGGCCGACCCTTCCCCCCCCGCTCCCCGCGGGGCTCGCCCATTGGGCCCGAACGCTCAGGCCGCGGTGGGGGCGGGTCAGACAAACGAGAGATGTGGAAAGCTATCCCAAAAGGGACCACCCCTCCCCCAGCAGCCTTCCCCATAATACTGAGATTTGACCCCCCCAAAAGGACTTGGAGCTCCTCGCCAGGCTTAGCGTGCCCCATCCCCACACGGGTCCCTTCTCTGGGCCTCAGCTTCCTCATCTGTAACATAGGGCTGGGCACTGGCCCAGCTTCCCCACCTTTCCCCCACATCTTCACACATCCCCTCTCTGGGCCTCAGTTTCCTCCTCTGTCAAATGAGAGGGCCAGACTCAATGACCACCAAGGCCCCTTCCAGCTCTCGATCCTATGATTCCCATGACTGACGTCCTCGGAGGGTCCTCCCACCCCTGGGACTCTGTGGACCAGGTCAGTCAGAACCCTAATAAGAAAACCAGGGTTTTGCGCGAAGTGCTTTCCTCACCCTCCTGAAACCCCACCTTCAGTCATCTCACACGCAGGATATCTAAGTTAGGGCCGAATAGGGACCCAAAAGAAGGCTTCCCTAAGGGGCAAGGGCCCTTTCCTCACAACTAAGCTCAATGCATGCTTATTAGCTGACTATTAGTGTGTCTCTTTGTGAAATTGGGAAGTTAGGAGAGTGCTTCAGGGCTGAGTAAGCCCGTTGCTCACAGCACCGTGGCAGGAGGGTGGTCATCTGCTGCCCCAGCTTTCTTCAGGTGTGCTAAATTCCCACTTTCTATAAGACACACACACACACTCCCACACACCCCCTCTTGATCATATGTGTTGTTTGCATTTTGTCTCCCCCATTAGACTGTGGGATCCCTAAGGACTGTCTTTTGCCTCTTTTTGCATCCCCCAGGGCCTAACAGTGCCTAGTACAAAGTAGACTTAGTAAATATTGGTTGACCTGACCCAAAGACGAGTAAAGACAGTTAATAGAGATCATTATCCAACTCCAAGTTGAGCCTAACAAATGTTCACTAGGTTCTTGGGCAAGAATTGCAGTTTGATATCTTGGATGGGACAATTTGTTATCCTGTACATATCTAAATCATAAAGTGTTATATCGTTTCACTGGGCCTCAGTTTCCTCATCAGTAAAACAAAGATATTGGACTAGATGAGCCACGAGGTCCCTTCTAACTCTAGACCTACAGTCCTCTGTTCAATAAGGCCCTTTCCAGCTCCAAATTCTTGATCATTACCTCTTTTGGCAAAAATAGACAACCCTCATATCTGTGATCTCGTCAATGTGGCCATTTCCTGCACTCATAGAGATCTTTGGTGCTACTCTCATGAGTTTACTGCTGGTCATCCTCCCAATGTACTAGGGCAAGGGTGGGGAATTGTGGCCTTGAGGCTGAAGGTTCCCCAACTGAAGTCCCTAAGCTGCCAGAAGAACACACCGGATCTGTCTATTTCTCACTCTCTCCTACATGGCCAGCACACCTTTTTCAATGGCTACATTCTTTGATGTTATCCTTCCTAATTTGTAATGTGGGCCAGCCTGTTCATCTCTCCCATCAACCTGTACATTGCCCTTTGAGCAGTCCTTCAGTGCTTCAAGGAGTGTGTCAGGTATCAAAAGCTATTGGGTGTCAGAAGAATCAAATGCTGGCATTAAAACATAAGCCTTTGTTCAGGAACAAACTAGGAGTCATTAAAACAACTTTGCCCTTTTCCAAAAGGAGTCCAGTCTGCCAGCTTCCTCCTACCCAACTCTGGTCCATGATGGATGCCTTCCGTAGAGTGTCTGGCATCCTACTGCCTTTGCTAATCTGAAAAATAAACATTCAAACATTTTTATTCACTTGGTTTTCCAGGTGTGGATAGTAAAGCCTAAAGTCTTTGAATGGTATGGATATTATTTAGAAGACTGTAAGGTTTCTGGGCCTCTTTCTATTCATACACCTTCTCCACAACAGGAACATCTGGAAGTCTTCAAATGCAGAATGTCTTTTCCACATGGACTCAGACAAACCCCAAGTATAGATCTCCCTATTTTATATCCTAGTTAATGTTACTGATCAAGAGAACTGTAAAACAAGGCAGTCTCTGTTCTATTTTCCAAGGAATTCTGATATATGCATAAACTATATCAACAATACACACAGAATACAGGCCAGGAGACTCCTAATACTTTTGCTTTCGCAAACTCAGCAAAGCCAACATTATTTTCCCTCTGAACTACTCTTTACCCCTAAAAATTCTGTTAGTTTGGGGGTTTTTTTGTACCTCTTGTAATTTTCAAATTCAAAATCTCTACCTAGAGGAGATCAAAAATAAGCTTCATTGACATTTAGCTTAGCTCAGAAATTCCGAGAGGCTAGGGTGTTTTATTATGTCAGACGAGTCCTTATGTGGTCATTTGATGAAAAATCTTCCATAGAGGGAATTGTTGGCAAAACATATCAGAAGAGGGAAATGATTTCCACAGGGGTAGGGGGGTTCCACTTGAGAAAAAGGAAAATAGAGCTATAAATAAATGGCTACAAGTTAGAGTTGATTGAATTGACCATTATAATCACCATAAATCCCATTCCTAACAACCTACACTGCTTTATCTGTCAGCTCCCCAGTGGAGTTTAAGGTGTCAGCTATTCAGAAGGCTTTTCAACTATAGATAGGAATTTAAATTGGAAGTTCTTTACGTCATCAAGTCCAAAGCCCTTATCTTACAGCTCAAGTAACAAGTCCAATGACTGGCTCAGCATCAAAACAACAGAAACAGAACAAGATAGAAAAAAAAATTCATTTAGATATATTTGTACATTATATTGTTGACTGCTGTTTGTCCTTCTAGAAGAGGACCAGGACATCAGGAAGGTGAAGCCATGACTTGCAAATGAATCGGATTTAAAACTGGCCGATTTCCAGTTGGGCCACACAGCCCCTCCCTCCCCTTTCCCTTCCCCCTTCTTTGCCTTTCCTTTCTCCCCCACACAGGGTAGCACACCTTTATCTTTGGGTGCCCTGCCCAAAGGAACATAAATTTTGATGCTGAAACGTCACAAGCTATCTCAAGGTTTACCGGTTAGATTTCTTTCTTAAGGACAAAGCCTTAAACCCAATTCACATTGGCTTTCATTGATTGACCAACACTAGGTCCCAGTCCAAGCCCTACATGGTTAGTGGTCATTTGTTTGGGTCCTGATGGCTCAGAGTGAATGTAAATAGCAATTATTTCTGTTTTGGCCAGAAACTCTGAGGGTCTTCCCCTCCCAGAGCTGATTTTTTTTTGACTAGGTAAAAGAGACCATTCTTTGCCTCACTTCTTACCTAGTCTTAATCACTGAATGGGCATTGCCTCAGTTAAACAGACCTGTTAGAAACCCGAGCTTTAAGAGGCCCAAGTCTCCCGCTGCATGGGGACTGTCTGCAGTTGTTCTGATCTATGTCTTACCACTAGACCCAGATGGCTCCGGAGGAGAAAGTGAGTCTGGTGACTTTGCATAGCCCTCCCTCACTTAAATCCCATTCGACTGCAAATCTTGGTACCACCTTCCTGATGTCATGGTCCTCTCTAGAATGAAGGGCAAACAACAACATATTTGATATATTTAAATGTCTTCTATATTTAATTTATATATTTCATATACTTCATTTTCTATAAATTAATTTGTATAAAGTTGATTATATACATTTTTATATAAACCTATTTCTATAAATTTATTTTCTATGATGGATTTTAAATCTCTGCAGTCAAAAAATATTTCCCTTTCTGGCTTTTAAAAATTTATTTATAGAAATCTTCGCACACTTTAAACTATTTTAAATTATTTAAAATACAGCCTTTTAGGACAACACTGACATCCATATTACTGAAAATGAAACGTACAATGGAGATTTAAAAGAACCTCCCCACTCCAATTATTTTTTTCCTGTTGAAGCACAGGATGGGAACAAGCCATGTTTCTTTCTTTCGGCTGACCTAGTTTCCAGCGAAAACCACACCCTGCTTTTGTTGTATGTGTGCAGTAAAACTGGTGATTAATGTACACCAATCAGTTGGGTCACAAGTTTTGAAAGCCTAGGAGGGAAAACAGCTGTTAGAAGAGAGGCAGGGGCTGGGGATGACCCAGATTTGGGGATGGGGGGAGGGACAAATCCAAATTGAAAAATAGGAGTTCTGATGCCTGGCCCCTCCCCGACTCCTTTGCCAATATTGGAGGTGCACAAAGGGTGGAACATTGCCTGTACTTTCAGATTTTTAAATATGTTAATTGGTTTGGCTCTCTGAAGGAAGGATACAAAAGCTAAATATATCAATAAAATGCATTTTATAAAGATGTTATGATGAGGGGTTGGGAAGACCTTATGATGAGGAGTTACAGTGAATACCTAGAAATCCAAGAGAGTGCCCAAAGTTCAGGGGGATTTGTCTCAAGGCCAAGGACGTGGGGATGGGGGGGACATTCTAGGTCTAGGTCACTTGGGGGCAGGTTTTCTCTCTTACTGCTTTGCTGTCTAAGCAGAAGCTGGGCTGACCCTAGTAACAGATGCCCCTTTGGGGAACTAATGGGCATCCCTCCTTGCGTCAGCCTTCTCAACCTTGTCTAGCTTGGGAGTCCTCCACCTTGGGAACAGAGA